TGAGTGCTAATGAGACAACTCTCCATCCAAGTCAAAATTTATAAAGGTAAACCATTATAGGTCAATGTACGGTCTTCAACACGGAGCCTTGGCTCACACCGAACAGCAAGCTATAAAGGGCCCAAAAAATTACTATATGCATATTTGTTTATTTCTTATATAATACATTATACCACGGACATGGACAGATTTCTATGTATATATCGACACCTTCAGATTTAAATTTCTAAATATATTTCTTAAAGTAGAATTTTAAAAGAAAAGAGTAAGTCATCTTTATTTGAAAAAATCCCCTTCTCAATGGCTCACCTGATATATTTTCCTACAAGATTCTAAATAAACTCATCATAAAAACCAGGCTTAAAATGATTCTGAAACAGATCTGGCATGGAGAGTAAAAAAGAAAGTGATGTGGAATTGGCTATCCAGGCATTGAAGGTTACAGTAAAATTGGAAGTAGAATATATAAAACAATTGCGTATGGCTAATGCCCTTATAAAGAATTTTATGAAATTACAACTGGTAACAGTAAAGTGAGGATTCTTAGAGCAAAATTTTAAAGCAACATAATAAATTGAAATTACTTCTACCTAACAAACGTGAGGAAAAGGGAAGTAAGTGCAATTTAAAAGATAAGAACTTTTTGTGGAAATTCAAGTAAGATTTCTTATTAATTATTATACTCATATTGGTAAGACGTACAATATAAAGCCGTCATACATTTTGAATTTTGAAAAAGTGTCGATTTAGTCGTTTCTGTAGTTAGTTAGCTGTCTCGATTAACGTAAACCCATCAACTCAATATTTCTTACAAACATTTCAATTTTTTTTCAAACTGAAATGTATTTAATACCATTTAAAATGCTAGTTTAAAATGGGAAAACTCCAAGGGCCATTAAGAAAAATATCGAAAAACGACAAAAACACTACAACCATAAAAAAAGACGAACAGATAAAATCACTTCACACACATGACATAGGAAACTAACGATTGCGAAAATGCAACCTCACAAGAAACCCAAGGGTTACCAGTTTGTACTTCGCAACACTTGCAAAGTTGCTCATTTCATGTAAAATAATTAGTGATTATCATAAATAAGAAAGACGATGGAAATGTGGCTACGACACGTGGAATATTTCCCAATATTACTTGTGATTCAGGTATTCTTAAACGGTCACGCAAATAATGATGGCATCCGTAAAACTTTTGATATTCGACTTTGAGCCTTCCTGATGAAGGTAAATCTAGGAAAGCGCTTTGGACGCATTAAATTTATTACGTGATATCGACGAAACCGTTCGGCTACCAATGGGTTATTATCTAGATGTCTATTTTATATATATATAAATGAACATATGAAACACATCGATACAACGGACACACACGGCCTTTACATTTATATAATTTGGTAGCCCTGAGGTTAATATCAATGGGTTAAAGAGTCAGGTTAGCAGTAGAGACTTGTCTGTTTAGGTTCGAATCCCTACGTTGTCTTGGCTATCCCTATTCTTTAGTTTTTCCATTTTTCTTATTTTGTATGTTATTGTGGATATTTTTGTAATAATATGGGTTTTCCCGTTTATTTTTGGATTAGTTTTGGCTATTTTACAGATGTTTATTCGCAAATCCCTATGCAAGTAAATCTTTATGTGCCTAACACTAGGTTTCTTGCTAGAAATGTTGGTAACATACTTTTTATATATACTTAGGAAAAAGTTCGAATATGTCTTATTTTGTAAATTACAGATAATATTCATATCCATTATAGTATAAAGACAGACGTGTTATGTTATATTTGTATTTTTCTAACCAGTTAATTGTGAAATTTGATTTATTAATTCATCGTTCAACATGATACCATGGTTATTTAAACTAACTTACAATACCTTCTGATTAAGAAAAGGCTTTAATTTTGAAAAGACATCAACACAATAGTTTAAGTTAGAGATGCAATAGATCAGCATTGATTCATGAAAAACAAATCATTTACGCTCCGGGCTCATGGTTTCTTCTTCAAGAATCAACTCTCATCCATTGTATCTATAATACTTGATTCTCAAAGAGGTACGAAAGATCCCAGAGGGACAGTCAAACTCATAGATCGAAAACAAACTGACAACGCCATGGCCAAAAATAAAAAGACAAACAGACAAACAACAGTACAGATGACACAACATAGAAAACCAAAGACTAAGCAACACGAACCCCACCGAAAACTGGGGGTGATCTCAGGTGCTCCGGAAGGGTAAGCAGATCCTGCTCCACATGTGGCACCCGTCGTGTTGCTTATGTTATTACAAATCCGGTAAATAGTCTAATTCGGTAGGTCACATTCGTGAAAAGGGAAGGGTATTGTAGTTACGACATAAGGAACATATGTGATATCATCTGTGAAACGGTTATTCCATAACGGTCAACCAACTCGTGATGGCGTCCGTAAAATTTACGAAGGGATCATTTCAACTTCACCATTTGGAACTCTTGGTTTAATAGCTTCCTTTCCTTCTCACTTATACTTTAATGTGTTAATGACGGTGTAATTCTATTTATTATTTTAGGTCTAATCTCTCTTTATAATATTGACATTTGACTATAACTTTTATGTTGCTATTCCTATATCTATGGTTCTGTAGTTCCCAATGATGTTCATAGTACATATTATCTAAAACAATTGTTGTTGTTGTATAGCATGGAGAAGTACAAGCTTTGTTATTTAAATAATGCGTTTCATTAAGCAATACCTCAATAAATTATTTTTACTTTCGGTATTTTCGTTGATTGATTTATCTATATATCTTAATCTGTTTGCCTTTACATAAACTGATGTAAAATCAGATATTTGTAAGTTCCATTTTACAGTGAACCTATTCAATCAATTCATGGAATACTATTAACTTGCTCCATTTTTTAAGACTTCAACCATGCTATTTGTACAGTCAAATTGTATTGCCTGTATACACGTTTTTATTAACAATCACTAACAGTTTAAAGCCGTATTGATGACCTGAACAAATCTTTCAAAATGATGAGTTTAACTTTATCATTAAGAACCCTTTATTTCGTAGATTCCTTGTCAGCACTAACCCTTTATCAAGAAAATCCTGCTTCAACAACAAAACATCTAGAATACCTTATTTATAGGAATCATACATACTCCATATGTAGGTATTTCTGGAATATTGCTTAATTAATGTAATATGAAAACTTGACAACTATTTGATGAAAAATGTATGATTATTCCATGTAAGCATGATTTCAATTGTAGAAATTTAATTGAAAACTATTAGCATTATATAGGATTAACAAAAGATAAACAATATTTAGAGTTGTCTGATGAATATTTCTGTTTGGCTAAATAAACTTTTTAACAAAACTTATATCATCGTTAACATTAATCTTTACGTCTGTTTTTTTTTTTTTTTATTTTTCTTTATATTGCTTTGGTTATAAGTAAAGATTAAAATACAAAATATTATCATATTTCATGCTCCGTAGATTGCTTTTAAGTTAAGATGTATCATTTAGACAGAAAGTTAGATTTCACATTTAGCCTATTGCAAAAGTCGTCTCATTCACTTTGTCAGTACAGTTTTTTCCTCGGAACACTGTTTTCAACTGCAAGCTATGTTTTTCAATGGCATGCCAATGTCTTTCTCATGGTAAGTAAATATTGGGTGACAAGTCACATTCAGTGATATCATAATCTAGAAAAAGTATTGTGGCTTCCACAAGTGTAACATATCTATCGTCATTTGTGACACTGATATTTCAAAGCAGTCAACCAAATCAGGTCGGCAAAGCTTAAGAAGTGATAACTTCTACTTTACTATTAATACCCTTGGTTTCTTAGCTTTCCTGTAAGCAGCAACCCTCTATCAAATAAATGATTACAGAAAATGCAAGCCTTTGAATATTGAATATCAGAAATGATTACAGAAAATGCAAGCCTTTGAATATTGAATATCAGAAATAAGGACAGAAAATGCAAGCCTTTGAATATTGAATATCAGAAATAAGGACATAAAATTCAAGCCCTGGAATACTGTATCAATTGGAAGATAAACAATGTAAATATTCCATATGCAGACAATGCTGGACTGTTACTACACAAAAACAGAAATTTCAATATAGGACAATTCAAATTTAGTCTTTTGTCTCAGAAAGTTCAAAATGGGACAATTTAAATTTAGTCTTTTGTCTCAGAAAGTTCAATATGGGACAATTTAAATTTAGTCTTTTGTCTTAAAGTTATCTACTCAACCATATCAAAGAGAATCCAATGGATGAAGTTGGCCTATAACAATTAAGAATATTCTCTCACTCCTTTAATTTAGTTCAAAGCAATATGAAATGAAAATTTTGGTTTCAGAGGACCTTCAATATTTTTTTTTCAGACATGGATGAAAGTTATCTTCCATATGGTTCAATGTGATGTTAAATTGCTTGACATTTTTATTATATCCATGTTGGCACCCAAACAGCACAGAATGACAAAAGTCTGTAGTGGATCTCCAAATTACTAGTATCATTTGTTTGAAGTTAAATATGGCCTTGTAATTTCATAGAACTAAATTTGGGAATCAAATAATTAGAATAGCACTGCTTCTTGTAAATCAAAACAAATGAAACATATTAAACCTTTATCACATTGTATATTGTGGGTTCTAAGGAGATAGAAATAGTTTACAAAAACTGAGCCTCATGTTGCAAAGTCCCAGATGAGCCAACTTTTAATAAACATATGCTTCCAAAGTAATTGATAAGTGACCTAATGATTCAATTTGACAACATGTACAATTTTTTTTCAAATACTCTCAGATAAAACACAGCAGTTGTCAGACAAAGGGAGGTAGATACAATACTTAAATGGGACAGCACTTAAACAACACAAGAAAATAAATCAACTTACATTGGTACTCTGCATTCTCAAGACAACTGTTTCTCATTAATTGTAACATAAATGTATGAAATAGTATATTGCTAATGATAAAAAGGGTATTTAATCTATTTTCTTTTTATTGCATGAGATAAGTCTGTGTATACTGAGTGTTATCAGTAATGATCTTGGATCTTTCCTATTCTTCCTGCAGTACACTGCCGTTCACTATTTCACCTGAAAGTAATGTAAAATTTAACCATTACAATGAAGTAAGTAGCATTCAGAGGTGAGAAAAGAAAATGCAAATACACTACATTCAAATATTCGGCTAAATATTTGTATTATCTAATCTAAGATCATCGTTACTAGATTACAGTCTTAGCCACTAAAGTCCAATTGTAAGACTCAATAATTCCATTGTTGTATGTTCTGTTGTTTTTTTCCTTGGTTAGCGTCAGCAATCAATAGTTTATACATATATAAAGAAGTTTCAATGATATAAGGATTGTGGCATTTGGAAATTAACTAATTTGATAGTTATCTATTGGTAGAATGGAATTTTATCACAGATAAAACTTTTTATCCAATAAAGTGAACCATGTAGACACTGAAAGGTCACAATGTGCTGTCATCATTTGAACTAAAACGAATTCCTACCGCAAACACACTTATAAACTTACCTTTCTGTACAGGCATAAATTTTTCTAACAGGAATACAGTCTGTTTCCAACGGGTTGCTGTGTCTCTAGGTCCAATAGAAAACAACACCTGTATATGATAGAGATCCTGATATCATAATACTGTTTTAATGAACAAACAGTTGTCTCCTTTTCCATACTTTTCAAAAACATTTTACTCAGCATATTTTAAAAAACAAATTTACTCAACATAAACACGACATAACAAGTTTCAAAACTATACCAATCCATCTTTGAATAATACTAAAAGAGATGCAGTAGATACTAAAGGACTGTCAAACTCGTAAGTTGAAAACAAACTAACAATGCCATGGCAAAAAATGAATAAACAGCTGCGCCATGAGCATTTGATACGCCCGTCGCTTTTTAAAAGAATAAAGTTCAATAACTTCTCAATGTCATATCAGAAATTTATGAAAAACTAAAGGGGGGTTATCTTAATAGATATAAACCAGTCACCAAAGTTTCATGAAAACTCCCCAAAGCACTTTAAAGATATTGTCCGAAAATTGGAAAATCACTCGGAAACGTAAAATCTAAAATTTATATATATAAGGGAGCTTACGTCAATAGATATCCACAATTCATCAAAGTTTCATGAAAACTGCTGGAAGCATTTTTGAGTTATTGTCCGAAAACTGGAAAATCACCTTTTTTTTAATAAATAAAACCCCATAACTCCGAAAAGTAAAACCTAAAATTCATAAAAATCGAAAGGGAGCTCATGTCAATAGATATAAACAATTTACCAATGTTTCTTGCAAATTGGTGAGAGTGTTTTTGAGTTTTTGTCCGAAAAATAGAAAATCACCCTTTTTTTTAATAAATAAAACCACCTAACTGGGAAATTTAAAATCTAAAACTTATAAAAATTGAAAGGGAGCTCATGTCAATAGATATAAACAATTCATCAAAGTTTCATGCAAACTGGTTAAAGCGTTTTTGAGTTATTGTCCGACATGTTGACGACGGACGGACAGACCGGCGGTTGGACGGACGGACGGACGGACAACGGTATACCATAATACGTTCCGTAAACGGGCCTATAAAAACAACAAAAGACAAACAACAACATAGAAAACTAGAGACTGGGCAACATGAACCCCACCAACAACATGGGTGATCTCAGGTGCTACGGAATGGTAAGCAGATCCTGTTAATAAGAGATGGTTGAGGCCATATCACATCCCTGTAAGTCATATCTAATTTAACTCTGACGGCATTTAGTAAGTTAATGCTTATGTGAACTATTTCTTTTAAAGGGGTTGATTGATTGCTGCTGGTTTAATGACAAATGGCAAATAATATAATGCATATTTAGGAAAATAACAAATTAACATTATGTAGGTTCTGCAATGTATGTGGACAAGGCTGTAGAGAGGCAAATTAGGACTGCCCCCAGAAAAATAAAAGTGCATAAGACAGGGATAGAAATTTTGCCTTGCAACAGACCAAATACAGACCCTAAAGAGTTGTTTCAAGGGTTAAACATGCAAACAGCATTACATGCATCCAGCATGGGGCTTGGGTTTTAATGTTTCTATTTCAACCTTACTAAAATGGTTGAAATCTAAGTTTCCTTTCATTTGTGAAGATCATGAGTCATTGTTATTATAAGGTTAAAAAAGCAGAAATTTGTTCCTATTGTTTTATTTGAAAGAATTTGTCACTGTAACTTCAGACATAATGCCGAGGTTTTTATTCATGTGAATAATGCAACTGGGTGAGTAGCGCAAAAAATAAAAACTTGCATTCTGATATCTGTATGAAGCTTTTCCTGAAATCGCAAGAATTTATCTCAAATTTTGGTTCAATCTTTAAAAATTGCACTAAAGAATGCACACAATAATCTGTGAACCTTCAGTATATTGATAGAATTTGTTCTGAAAGTGCACACAATTTTCCAGTTCAATTATGGACAGTTTAAGCAGAGTTCATTGAACTATGAACTTATTAAGTATAAATTTACCATTTAATTACTTACGTTTTACCACAATTTTTATTAAAGTGAATATCGAAATAACCAATGACAGCAAATATTTCCTCTTTTATTGTCAATGACAACTGAAAGTCTTGTTTGAACTGTAAATCACAAATTCTACAAATGCAGCAGTCAAATTCCTGCAAAAAAAAATTCTTAAAATCCTTCTTTCTAATATTGAATATGTATAAGAATTTAAAGGAGATTTTGTGAAAAGAAAAAGAGACAACAACCCAACATTAAAGTCATATCAAATTGTTTTTTTAAAATTATAATGTTAAGGAAATTTTTGAACTAATGTATGTACCAGTATATATACTAAACTTAGTCCTCTATGCACAATTGTTTTATATTTATAAAAATCCAAAACATAAAATCGACAAAAAATATTTCATTCAGTGAAAACTTTCCCTGCTAAATAACTTTTATGTTTTATTGCCAAAGTTTTACAGAACATAACCATAATAAATAATCAACACAGAATCATGCGGGGAACGTGAAAAATTACGATAGACAGGCGATATTTACATTTTTTAGTATTTTCCACGCGTTTTTATTTGTTAATCATTTTTGTTCTTTCAGAATCAATTAACACTATCTGACTTATTCCACGTTTGATTACCTTTTCATTTACAGTTTTCCCTCGCACCTGTGCTGTGTTGATTTGAAGTATCATATGACTTTAAAACTAAGAGAAAATGTAGTAGTTGAAATGTATGTCATATCAATCCTAACCCTTTTGGTCTGGAGGGCATAATAAACAAGCACATAGCATAAAATTCCTATGTCAAATTGACAGAATTACTTCGCCATTGGCCTTTTAGATTAGGTCTTGTATGACAAATATGAAAGTTTTCTGACCCTTGTAACAGAACCTAAATCAACATTGTCAGTAACTTCTTGTGACATTTTATTTACCAAATATGATCAAAAAGACCATAGACAGCAGTGGAATAATTGTCATTTGGTCACGGTATTGTTTTTTTTTTCATTGTGGAAGGATGTACGGTTGCCTATAATTGCTTACATCCACTTTGGTGGATAGTTGTCTCATCAGCAATCATACCACATCTACTTATGTTTATATTTAAAGAAAGTTTTATATTTATAATCCACAGAAGCTCTAATGAGGTCTAAGTTCAGGTTAAGTATTAAGGAATATTGGGGTTGGCAGATGGAAAATGTCATACACTACACATGGAAAGGTCAACGGCAAAACAAAAGATAAAGAAAAAATTGAAAATATGAGCTACCAACATCCTTAAAATCAAATGAATCATTTTGATACAATTCTTCAACATATCTTTTGCTGTTTGAGCCCAGACAACACAGAAGCAAAATTATAACCATATAAGACAACATTAGAATGTCATCAATAAATCTTGATCACTGGAGGATGAAACAATTCACAATGAAAATAACCAAATTTTGTGTTTGAATAAACAATATGGACTGTTAAAGTTTCAAAATCACCTGAATAATAGCTGTTTTAAAAATAATTTTATCTGGTTTCACAATATTAACACTGGATTCTTTAACAACATCAGATTGCTTATAGCTCATTTTAAAACCATACACATCTTCCCAGAATGCCATGTATTTATAGTGGAGGTCTTTGTTGTCAATAGCTACCAACTGGATGTTACATTTATCTATGATAAACTGTTGTAAAACAAAAAATTTCACAGAATAAATATGAAATAATAAGTGACATTTGTCCAAGATTAGACCATTCAAAATGTATTGTTTGTTTTTAATGTCTATTCTTTTAGAAGGCCTAACAAATAACATGAATTTTTTTTGAAAATAAAATTATTTGCCCACCTAAAGCTATTTTTTCCATCTTGCAGAAACATGGGTATTATTTGTTTAGGCCTCAGGGAATATTATACTAAAACTGGTACAGACTAGCAATTATACAATTGATTCTAACTGTAATTTTTTTTAACAAGATAGATACATATAGAGAGTTGGCTAGATGGATTCTCTTAAGAGCTGTATTTTTCGTTCAGATTTAATAGATGTGTCTGACAGTTAATTTCTTGTTCCTAGCCTGTTTTGTCTTAAATTAAAGGCTGTAATCTACCATTCCAACTTTTGTAAGATAAAACTGTTGGTTGTGTTTTAATGCTTACAAGATTAAACAAAAGATGTATTTTGGGTTTTTGTGTTGTTTGGTTGCTGCCTTATTGACATTTACCCTACATCTACGTTTATTCATATCAGAGTTGAAGGATATTCAAAAGTAGTAAAGAATATAAATGTTGTCAAAAAGAAACCAAAACTCTAAAAATCAAAGGAATAAAGACCTCATGTAAAGAAACACTCCTACATTTTGGGACTGGTCTTAGTTTCAGCATTTTTATTCTTTTTCTTTTCATTTCATATTGAAAATTGTGTTTCAACATATTTTTGTATCTTCTTTAACAATATAATTACCTGATCCATCAGCTTTCAGATATTTGTCTCTGGCATACAGTGCATAATCTAACATGGATCCAAACAGTAAGAAATATCCCATCCATTCTGATATTATAATGTCTACTTCTTCTACAGGAAGTTTAACTTCCTCAATTCTGCCTTTTAATATGGTTATCTTGTCCTGAAGATTATTTTCCCTGAAAAAAGGGCAAAAATCTTCTAATTGATCGTGTTGCACAGATTTATTTTTGCTAATGAATTGTAGATAAGAATAAAATGAAAGATGTTGGGTTTACGTCAATGAGACAGCAACCCAATGACAAGAATAACCAAAATACAAACAAAATGACCTTGGTTATTTTATTATCATTTTTCAAAAATTTTGATTTATTAGGTATTTGAAGATAGATTTTAAAAGCTTTTATATGTATATTTGCCTTTTTTAATTTGTACAAGTTTGGTGATAAATTGATTTTTCCTTTCAATTGTCAATGTGTCTGTCTGAAGTCAGAAAGCTTGTCCTTATTTACATATTCATGTTTTTCTCCACTAATTAGGTGTTGATGTCAATCTTTGGTAGGTCGGGTAGGTCGTGTTAAAATTCTCTATAAAATGTCTTGACTCTTGAGTACGTAGAGCTTGGCCAATTGTGTAGACATTTGTTTTGCTGAGTATTGACCATTTGCTGCTCATAAAACTATTAAACAAAGAGCTAAATGTGGTGAAGATGAAATCATTCCTTTGAATATTTTACAGACACCATCATGAGTTGGTATGGAATATCTGTTTCACAGATGACGAGGGCTATGTTCTAATTGTCGTAACCACAATCCTGTCATCCATTTCCCAAAATGTGACCTACCAAATTAGACTTATCACCCAGTTTGTACTTACATGAGCAACACGACAGGTGCCACATGGGATCTGGTTACTATTGTGGAGCACTTGAGAATACCCTTGGCTTTTGGTGGGGTTTGTGTTGCTCAGTCCTTAGTTTTCTATGTTGTGTTTTGTATACTGTAGTTGTCTTTCAGTCTTTTTCCTTTTTTTGCCATGGCGTTGTCAATATAATAAAGAAGATGTGGTATGATTGTCAATGAGACAACTCTCCACAAAAGACCAAATGACCCAGAAATTAACAACTATAGGTCACAGTACGGCCTTCAACAATGAGCAAAGCCCGTACCGCACAGTCAGCTATAAAAGGCCCCGCAATGACAATGTAAAACAATTCAACGAGAAAACTCATCTCATTTTCATCTTATGAGTTTGAATGTCCCTTTGGTATCTTTCGCCTCTCTTTTAAATAGTTTTCTGGTATATTTTGATGTTGGGTTGCTGTCTCTTATTGATGAATACCCCACAGTCTCCTTTAATTCATATAACTATGCTTGAAAATTAAATTAATCTTTATAAAAAAATGAAATAACTGTGGGTTCATTAGTATTCTTGGAATAGTAATTTATGTGGATTTCAATGATAAAGGTTAACCACAAATTCAAGTGTTAAACAAAATACATGTATGCATAATATGCAAAAACCACCTAAAAATGAACTATTCAACAGTATTTGTTAAAGAAGATGTTATGGTTTAATCATGTTTATTTGCATTTGAGGAGTTTCTATGGTTATATGTTACTTTATTAAAAATTCTTGGCGATTTTGTATCTTAACAAAGAGCTAGAGCAGAAAAAGGCTAGAATTAATTTCATAAAGTCTAGTAAACACAGCAAATATTACACATTATCTGTTGGAAACCTTACCTGACAATATCCATGGCTTGGTAAACAATATCTGATTGGTCAACAGCTATCACAAATTTAGCTACAGCAGATACAGCAAACATTGACAGAATACCAGTTCCACAACCGACATCCTGGACAACCTTATCTTTGAACAGATATTTATTTTGGTACATAAAATTACGATAACTTTCTGTTCGGACTTTATCTTGCAATAAAAGTAAAATTCTCCGGTCGATTCATTATTGCTACATGTATGACAATTAATATGAAACATTTTTTAAAATCACTCTAACAATCTCCATTATTCATTAAATCAAGGATGTGATAGATTAATATTGATTTTTATCAAAGAATATGGTAACTATCAATATAGTATTCTCCTTGTTAGCTGTAAGAAGCTATTTTAAAACGCATGTTAAATTGTGAGAATTTATTTATTGGTGTTGTAGATATCAAAATTCTTCAATTGCTTTAAAAAAAAAAAGAAATGAATTAATGTAGTCCAACTTTGACACTTGTGAAAATAAAATAAGTCATTTACTTATCCTAATCAGTCCACTGTTCCAAAATCTTAAGGATTGTGGCCATGGATAATTTCATTCTTAGAACATAAAATTAAAACATTACATCTTTGTTTAAATATTCATTGTGTAGGACTTATTTACCAAGCTTAATTTTTTGATAAGATTTTTAAAGTATTACCCAGAATTCATTAATTCTAATTTATTCAAATGCATCTATGATAATAAGATTATATAAATCAACAGAAATCTAATTCATCAAAAGAAGATAGAGTTTCTTGCATAAAGAATGTGTAAAAGTTCTACTTTTCTTCTTCATTTACAGTAAAACTTGAGCTTTAGTGCTACACAATAAGGATTCCCTACAGTGGTATATACTATAAGATACTGTAGTTGTAGACACAAATTGACACTGCTTGTGAAATAGCTGATGAATTTTCAGAATACCTGAAACCATTGTTTTTGACTTTGAATGTAACACAATGAACATTGTTTGGTATCAAAGGAGTAAGTTCGGTATGGGCCATATTTTACCCCGATTATTAAGGTCAATGTTTCAAGATGAAAAATGTTTTGAGTTGACTTAAAGATATGTGAGAAAGTTAAATAGAACTGGTTTGTCCAAGTTTTAATAAAAGCATTGATTTTAACATCCCAAAAAGGCCAAAAATAGAGATTTATGCGAAATTAGACAAAATTGTTCGGTTTTCAACCAAATTAAAGCCTAGAAAACATAGAGCGCAGGCGTCAACAAAATAAATATTTTAGTCAGATATGTAGAATGTTATAACTAACATTATGTGATAAGATTTTTTTTTACTTCGCATGCGCTCTATGTTTTCTGCCCAAAAAAATGAATGGAAGGGACTAGTTTTGGCCTCAAATTCGAAGTACATCTGATGAAAGATTTTTGACGTTCTTTAAACACTTAAGTTTCTACTTTAGTCGATTCAATTAGTTTTTGTAAAAGATTTGAACTGATTGGGTCATTAAATACGTTCAAATTCAAGCTTAAATATGAAAAATCTATCAATATGCCATAAAATGTCACTTTTCAGATGGTTTTTGTCTAAAAAGTGACCGCATTCGTGTTCAGTCTCAACCTTTTTATATGTTATGTGTTATCATTGAATACAACATATATTTAAATATTAAGATTGAACACAAAAGCGGCCACTTCCATTTCAGACAAAAACCTTCTTAAAATTAGCACAAATGCTAAAATTGTGAAGATTTCAGTAATTTTGCATGAATGTATGATGCTAGTACCTGATGCATGTACATTGTATGGTCAAAAACAGCCCATATTTATGGAACTAAAGTATTCTACTTTCCAATTTAGTAGCTTAAAAATTACATTTCAACAAATTTGTATATTTTGGGGCCAAAAAGAGGTCTTACTGGGCTAACTCCTTTGATTGTTTGCATTGAATTTTCGTTGAAAATCAAAATGAGTGCTATTTGTGACCTCCTGAATAGAATACAAGTACGTAAATTTTCAACAAAAAGACATATTTCCTATATATTCATTGTATTGGCTATGCCTCATTGTTATATTGGTCAACAAATCTTAATTTGAAATTGGATCTAGAAATAGGGGCCATTTTATGCCCTGATCTAACTTACTCCTTTTGTTGCTGTGGTCAAAAAATTTTGCAGTGTTTAGATTTCCCCCTGATATATACATGATATACCGTCAGCATTTATAATTAGTTACCTTTAACATATCTTCATGAACACTGAAATGAGAATATGATCCAAATTACTCCTCATCTTCATCTTCTGTCAAAGTATGTACTGCACTCTCTGATTTGATTGGTTCATTTGGCTGAGACATTACTTAATTCTGAACTAAACTCTGAATTCAACTCTGAACCATAGTTCTGTTGATTTAAGTATGGTTTCAGTTAGCAGTAAGTTCACAATGAAGTTCAAAAATTTTGAAAATTTTGATTTCAGTAAAAAGTTTGTGAGTTGGTTATTGAGTGATTACACAACATCCTCATGTCAGTGATGATGCAATACATTGTAAAATTGTTATTAAAATAATCACTGAGGTCTAAATTCTGAATTCAATGTGGTACAGTGTCGCTGTTGTATTTTTTCATTCAATCATCAACAACATTTTTTTTTTGCTGCACACCATTTTGATTTACCCAACTTGAACCTGATAGAACAATTATTGCTCCATTTAGCTATTTTTATGACAATATCATGTATTTAGCTCAGAAGTCCATTGACAGACAAGTATTAGCTATTTTCGAAGTATTTCTGTTACAGTTACAAAGTAAATCAATGTTATCTTTCTGTAGACACTCAACATGACATAAATTTTGAATTGTTTTTATCAGTACACACATTGATTTTGTTATCAATAAATTAAAAAATAACTTATTATTATTGCTATACAGCTATGAACACTTATGGTCCTATATTCTGTTGATACTTATATTTTGGAATTGCACAAAATCAAGCTTTTCCAGACAGTTTGTGACATCTTAACACTTACCGTATTTAGCCGTGTATAGTACGCAGATATGTATAATACGCAACCCTATTCCTCCCTCCAAAATCGTGAGATTTTTTTTATTTATTTTTTTATTTTTTAATAAAAAAAAAGTAAAAACAATAATTTTAAAAAGTCTAGTTCACTGTTAAAAAAAATCTTAAATAGGAAACAATTAAATCATGTATTTAATCTTCAATTAAGTCTATTGAAAGATAAAAATAATATATGATGATTGTTCAATCAAATTGTTTAATTAAATAATTGTATAAAGTCATAAAAAATAAAATGGTAGTGCTTTCATTATGTAAATAACATTTATAAATTTTATAAAAGTATATTGAAAGATAGAAATAATATTTAATATTGATTGTTCAATCAAATTGTGAAATAAATAATTTTAAAGTAATAAACAATAAAATGGTACAGTTTTTATCATGTAATTAACATTTATTAATTTTATAAAAGTAAAGTTATAAATTAAATATCCATTTGAAATCAATGTTTGTCTAAGCTTGTCCAAGTTGATGCACTGTTCAAATAACAGAAATAATTGGAATGTTATGGAAGAAAAGAAATTAAACCTCAAACATTTTTCTAAATTGATTAGCAGTTATTAAAATTTATAAACTCTTTAATCCGATATTTTCTTTTCATTGATATGTTGATTTAGAGCACTGCCTGAGGTTATTATATTGAACACCTGTCAAGAGTTGACATGATTGCAACCCATACTTAATCCTTAATTTCATTTTAAGCTCACTCATGCCGGATGTCACACCAGTACTTTGAATATTCAATAATGAAGGAAAAAAACGTTATTGAAAAAATTACATATTAAAAACGTCTTGAATATATACAATAATGAAGATAGCAAACGATGTTAAAAAAAAAAAAAGAAAAAAGTTTTTTTTAAATCAAAAACCGTATATAGTTGTGTATACTTGTTATAGTTGTGTTCCTCTCTAGAACTACATTGTTGGTAAAAAAGAGTGTGTACTATACACGTCTTAATACGATAATTCATTGGACGTGTATACTGGCTGATATTTTAAGTCCTAGATACATAATTTTTTGGTTAGTTAGCTTTGAACTAGCTTGCAGTTACTGTGAGTAGTCTCAGATTTGTTCTTTGTGTCTTTATTGTTTATGTAGTTGTTTTTGTGGTTTGTATGTATCTGATGAGTCAAGCCGTTTTCAACTGATTTTTTTTGTAATTTAGGGGTTGTCGTTTGTTGCAGTATTTTGTTTTTGTTCATTGATTTATTAATTGTACATAAATCAGGCCCTCATTTTTCTCATTTTCAGGGCATTTTATAGCTTGCTGTGGTGTGTGGGTTTTACTCATTGATGAAGACTGTAGAGTGACCTATCTTTGCTTACTTCTACATCATTTGGTATCTAGTGGAATGTTGTCTCATTACCAATCATACCATATCTTCTTGCGTGGTGTCGTACTTACAATGGTTTGATTGATGAACGTATTGGTGTTTCTGATTGATGGTCTGATCTAATGTATATATTATGTCCCTGTTCAATGGTTTTTGAGTCTACACTCATTGTTTCCTCTTGTATGTCTTCACCAACTTTCTGACTGATGAAATATTCAATATCTGAAAAAAAGCAGTGTGTCAACAAATTGAGAAGAACAGTTTACGTATGCCTTTTTAAGAAATAAATGTCTAAGATGGGAAGGCACTTTTCATTAGTCACACTATGCATAAAATGTCCATTATTCTTATGTCTTCAGACAGATTTTCAAAATCCAACACAACCTAGTACATGTAGTGTTTTCTAATACTAATGTTTATTTTCAAATGACCATTGATTGATGCATTTTACTTGTCATTTTTTAACTTTTATATGTCGATTTGTTTTTAGTATCTTCAAAAATAGATTCAATAAAGGTCAACTTCAAAATATGGGCCTGTATCTTTAGTCATGGTTCATTGACTTTGAATAAATTGCATAACTTACGTGTTTAAGTATTGCTATTATAATTTCAACATTTCCATTTTACTATCAAAGTAACAGTTTTTGTTTTAATTTTGTTTTATTTGGAATAAAAGTTGAGTGAAATTCTTCTCAAATTGTGTAGTACAGAAAAGTTACTGTAACTCACTTTTTAATTTTATGGAAGTTTGAATGATTTTATGATGTTTGAAAATGATTTTAATTTCAGGGAAAAGTTAAAGGAAGTGACATAATTTCCAATCATAATTGATGGTGCTAAGCATGCTCAGGTAATCCAGTTGTCAGGTGGACATGGAGTGTAGCTGTTTTAACATGATTCAATATGGTGGAGAGGATATTGGTGAAGATAATCAGACAAAGCAATATAATTTAATTGTTGAAAGACTTGGATAGATGAAATGGCTAGTTAGAAGTGTTTATAAAGAAGCTGCCAATAAATTGCATATGTTGTAATTTTCCATTTTTTCCAAGTACAAGTTGTTGATACTATATATTTAAACGTTTTTGTCTTTCGAGAGTATAAACTATAAATACATTCATATCATATAACAAGATTTCTGTAGTTTAAGCCTTCAAATAAAACTATCAGCCTATGAATATTTAATGAAATCAAAATGATCTGAGCTTACTAAATTATCTAACAAAAAGTTAATGTAGTATGTTGTCAAGATAAAGTGTTTGAAAAAAATTGCTTAAAGCTTCAATATTCCAAATACCTCATATATCATTGTGCAATTAGGATTTTGTTAAATGTTGCATTTTATAGTAGCTTGGGTTTATTTATACTTTGAAAAAGCGTCAGTTGGTGAGGAAATATCAATCAATAAAAATGTCTATATAGACCAACTAAACTTAGTGTATAGATTTTTATCAATTTTAACAAAATTATTTTCGAACATAATTTTTCATTTTACTATTTCAACACCCTAATCAATAATAGAAGTTTTAGTGTGTGCTGTGATTCTTGGTTCCACATGTTAAGCCACTGGTGGGATCTTCTTATAGCTTTAATCACTTACTAAAGCCACAACTCTGAATTTATGAATATCATGCAAACAAGTGACAGTTGATATGTAAATAAACGTGATTAGTTCAAGAAATTTTAATGAAAGAAAAGTAAAAATAATTGAGGTGTATTTTGATGCAAATCTGCAAATTAAATCAATTGTCATTGTATAAAATTTTATATTCTATAAAGACACATCCATCCTTAGTAAAAAGACTTTATGATTATACCAATGTGTGTAGATGATTGCAAACAATCTTTGAAAGTGTAATTAAGTCTTTATCTGTACCATTAATCATGCATTTATGATATTAAAATAAAACAGGGCTTCTATTTCTTGATTAAATATTTTGATGTGCAATAGAAGTGGTCTCTTAATAAATTCTGGACGCTTTGTCACATTTACATTTTGGCCTCCAATTCTCTCTACAGAAAAAAAAAATTAAGAGTATTTTCCATCAAGCTGGCATTACATTTGTTAAAAGAATTTTTCTTATAACACGTGATCATGAATCCTTACTTTTGAATGATGCATGCTATGGGAAAGCCCCGAAAGTTGAACAGCCTAAACGGTACCAGCCAAATTAGTGCTAAGCCAGTGCATCAATTCAACAATTTGGCATTTTAGTTTGTGTCAGTATTGGTTTTAATGTAGTGAATGAAAAATTAGATTCTTTATCAGACGAAAAGTCTGTCTATACAGTATTAAAATCATTACTTTTAATTGAGTTAAAAATTAATATTTTATTAACTCCCTGTCTTAAAATGTCATAACATTAAAATCAATGAGAATATTAATACCTGATATTAATTATGTATTATTCTGAAATAAAGCATTTTTCCACGTTTCAACAACATTCATAAATCTAGGTATGGCTTTTAGAGCTTTAGTAGACCAGTATCTTAGAGTAAACAATGATTGAATGAATTGAATGGCTGACTTAGTGATGTATTTCAATTATTTGTTATGATTTTTTGTAAAGAAGTTTAGGTATTTAGATTACTTCCAAAGAAGTATAGAGTTGAAGATTACTACCAAAGAAGTATAAAGTTTAAGATTACTTCTTATGAGTTGAAGGTTGCTCAACAGAATGTGATATTATTGTAGATAATGTATATAAACATATTGTATATTTGCTATGTGAATCAAAATATTCTATTCTAACTATTCTAACTGTGGTAATCATTGTGATAAATGAACATTACTTACACAAAAAACTATATACAAGAAATAAAGATAAATGTGAGCTTTGTTGCTTTTAACATAGATATTATTTCGACAGTTGTGAAAGAACTATGTAAAACTGAAAGAAGGGATAAATAAGGGGACAAGGGTAAACTATATAATAGGGTGGTTTGAAAATTTTGGAAAAAGGGGATCAGTCAAGTTAAGGGTATACCATGATATATTGTTGTACTCTTTGCTGTCATTAAATGTTGATATATGATCACTTTACAGAAATATAACATTCAATGTAAAAATCAAATCTTTTTCATAGTCCTTAGTCCTTATAGTGTTTTTATTTCGCTCAGTGCATATCTTTTTTTATTCACAAATTATCTCCTATGAGAAATGGGTTGGACTCTAGCTAATTTTCCTAGGAATGCAAAGAGAAACTAACTTCTCAAGACAATTAAGTATACTTAAGAATCAAGGAATCATTCCTTGCAGGCACTAAAAATATTCACTGCTTATGTGGAGAGCCAAATCCTTGAATTCTAGTTGAAAAAATTGCTGGCAAGAATGAAAATGATAGATACTTTTTAGAATAAAAGAAAGATAAGTAAATTTGGGAATTGTAATTCATTAACTTCATAATCCTGTATAATGACAGTTTTTTCATGCATATTAGTTAATTTTAGTCATGAAAAAATAGAAATTTGATGTTCATTTTAGAGATCCAATATTTCTTCAGTTTTGTTGATGATGATGTTTGTTGAATAATAGTAAATATATTTTTTAATGTAAAATTAAAATTACAAATTATGCATTACAACTATTCACTAAAAATTATTACGACAGGTTTATTTCAAGTGATGATAATAAATTATGGTCATTTACCTGATTTATACTTTCATTAAATATTGAATATGCATGTGTAATGATTTTAATGATAGTTCAAGTATACATTATATATTTCGGAGTTTAGAATGACGTCCATTATCACTGAACTAGTACATATTTTTGTTTAGGGGCCAGCTGAAGCACGCCTCCGGGTGCGGGATTTTCTTGCTGTTTTGAAGACCCATTGGTGGCCTTCGGCTGTTTTCTGCTCTTTGGTCGGGTTTTTGACACATTCCCCATTTCCATTCTCAATTTTATATTCAGTTCTGTTATATTTTATTTCCAGAAATCCAGCAATTGTCTTGTTTACAATCTTTTTTATGTAAAATTAAAATTACAAATTATTCATTACAACTATTCACTAAAAATTATTACGACAGGCTTATTTCAAGTGCTGAAAATAAATATGGCCATTTACCTGATTGATACATTAGAAAACACTATTATGTTAGTAATTGAATTGAAATAAATGCAGTATTTCAATTTGAGTACTTTCATTAAATATTGAATATGCATGTGTAATTATTTTAATCATAGTTCAAGTATACATATTCAGTTCTGTTATATTTTATTTCCAGAAATCCAGCAATTGTTTACATTTAAATTTATAATGCAATCTTTATACACAATGTTCTATTAAATAAAATACTCATGCTTTTTCTTATGTATTTGATTTCCTAGTATAATTACATGGAAGATCTAGGTAAAACGGTCAAACTTCGTAAGTTCTTGGATACCATATTATCATAGATTTTTGTTGTTGCTCAAACCAATTGTGTTCTTCTCCTTTAATTCAAAACCATATATTAGACATTTGAATTTCCACCCTTCTTAAGAAACAAATCTTAAATGTTTTCCAGAATGTGCTAGGTCTGCTACTGAACTTTGCATTTAGTAACCCAATCTGTATTTTTTAGAACTCTGTGTATGCCTTTACCACTATGAACTCTTTAAGTAGTATATAAGATTTAGAATTTTGTAAAGGGTTCCATTGATCACTGCGATTGCTGATGTCATTGTAAAAGCGCAATGTTGATTGTAAAATTTGAGTCAATTTTTCAGTAAAATACAAAATTAAACTTGTCCCTAAGATGCAATTTCTTGATTTTGAAGATTAGCCTCTGTCCATTACTGTTTGTCAAAGTTTATACAGATATCTGAAGAAAAAAAAAACCAACCACACATTGAAGCAACATGTAAATGTTGATGACGACAACGGTATCCGGGAACGCTATGTCTCGTTTTTGTCACATAAATGCTGCAAGATCGTAAAACATCTATCAAATTGGAAAACACGTTCCAAGGTAAAGTAGTGGATTGAGCTAGGTTCTATGGTGTCCAAACTACTACTTACTTACTCGACTCAAGTGATGATGAATCAATGTATCATTCAATCCCAACACGATGCATTAAATGGCAAAAGTCCATAACAAATAAATTGTAAATGATATATAGAATATTATGTTTATCTCGCAGTGTATAGTATGAGCAGTTTGGTATAAAATGTGACGGGTCAGTAAGTAAGAAACACAGCTTTCAGCCACTGCCAACAAAGGCCTATTGTAAAGTTTGAGCAACATTTTGACCCTGATTTAAATGATCTAACGCAGAGATCTGGATCAAGCCCTTAGTCCAATCAAACTGGATTATTTTACTACTCCTTCTAGTCAATAAAGTGCACACTCAGCACAGACCCTATTGTTGGATGATCGGATTTCATTTAACAATTGAGATGATATAATGAAATAAACATTGTAGAAAAATGTACGAGCTGGATGTTTTTTTCAAGAGTTACAATCTGAATTAATTTGATAAAGGAAGTACCGTGAAGTACAAAGAAATCATAGATACGACAAAAACATGAAAATGCACTATTTCAAAAAAAAAAGATAAATGCTGACATGATAAAAAAAACAAAGCTTGAATAATTCCGAAAGGACAACTGGAAAAGATGGATATTATTCAGCAGGAAAATTCTATTATCTTTATTCTTTCAATTTGTATTGTCGTTAGTCATCTTTCAGGGTAGGTATTCATTAAGTTTGCCTAGACATTTAGGAAATTGTATAATTTTTTTCCAAATGATATTACCCAATTCAATCTCCATAAAACGTTACAGCCAGCAATATAGAATATCAAATATAATATTTCTATGTTATGATACATTTTTGCATCATTTTTAATCAGAAATTTACCACAAATATGTTTCAAATTGCATGATTTCCAAATAAAATGTCGAGATCATTTGCGTTTGATGAACAGAGTGGAAAGCATTTTTTTTTAAGATAATGAGGACATATAAAAGTGAAATTTTTAAAAGAATGCACTGATAAGATATATATAACCTTCCTTCATATCCAACTAAGTAAGACATCACGTGACTTTCGTGACGTAGCGAGCCGCCATTTTGTGTCATTTTGTCCGATATAAAATGCATAGGTGCTTCAATAAAATTCAATTTTCTCATTAACCTGACCCGTTTTGTAACTTTTCCAGCTATATCCTTGGTCTTCGAACATAATTCTACCGAAAATGTTGGTCCTGACAGTTTTATTTTTGATTTAATTACTCCCTGGAGATTCGTAAAAATCGTACTTTTTCTCGTTATTTCCCCGTTACCTCAATGGTAACTCTAGCGAATCCATGTCTACTTGTACATCAAATTCACAAATTCCGAAGATAAAAGTAATACTTTGCAGCTATATTGAAAATATCAACACATATATCTAGTAAAACAGGCTACTTTTAACGTTTAAATCGAGGGAAATTACGTCCCACGTCGATTTAAAAAAGTGATTTTTTGGGGATTTGCATGTATTTTCATACATCTTGTATTTTTCATGCAAAATTTGTGCTGTTTCTGTTATTTACTTCGTTGATATTCTGATATGTTTGATTACTAAATTTCTTGATGAAAAATAAATTATTTCAAGTGTGAATTGAAAAAATTGTTACCACTAAAATTTATAAAAAAAATATTTTTCATTTTCTTAAAGATGTTTTCCTTTTTATCTGTATAATTTATCTTTCTATAGAAAAGTAATATATTCTTTTTATAAAAGAAATATTTTCGTCTCGAGAGTAAAAAAACCATGCACAACAATAGATAAATGCTCTGTACTTAATAAAGTTAATGTCCCTTTAAAGTTTATATGACCAATATGACCAATTTACAAACACGTTAACCAGATTTAAGTTCTAATGTTACATGACAACAAATTCTCAGTTAATGTAAAGGAATCCAAATGTAAACCAAAGCCATTATGTGACATTAACATCCTGTGTACACATGTATTTCCAGAGTTTGGTTTTAGTGATATACTAAAATGGACAAATATATAATTCTCTTTCCCGTGTGCACTACCGAAGAAATATATATCATAAAGAACTTTACGAAAATATGAATATTATGAAAAATTCTTCGATAAGTAGATTTTTGCTTGAAAAAAATAATCAACTATCAATGTTTCACGATAACTGATAAACAATACTCTAATTCAAACTTTATACTTAATAGATTTTTTTTTTATTTCATAGAAAATTAAACGAGACTTCATCGCATATCATTTTTGTCTTTTATTATTTTTTAATTCAAGGCTTTAAGCAAAATCCAGGCATTAAAAGAATCAATATTGAAATTTTAACTTGTGTACAAAAATATGTTATTGCAAACATTTCAACATTGTATACCCGCCAATATTTATCGACAGAGTTATCGGCCCTGAATAGGACTGATATAGTTGAGTAGGTTTACAGACAACAGGAAGTTATTATCTATATACTCTCAATACACTTACATAATGGCAATTTTAAAGTATTGATGATTACAAAATGAAGTTGTCTTTTGTATGTCATGTTTGTTTTGTTGCATGGGTTGTTTATTCAAAATAATATATTCAAGTCTATATAATACAAACTTCGATTGCATAATTTTGATTTCTCATCATGTAAACTATTTATACATATATAACAATAAGGATAAATTTAGAATCGAACAACTGTCACTTGTACATTTAAATTCGTGGTATTGCTTTAATTATTATTTACTTATAGCGCAATCCAGAAGAAATTTTCAATGGGAAAACCCTTCTTAAAACCCCCTATCTTATCGAAATGTTTAGGATGTTCAGATGAAGAAAAAAGAAGAAAAGAGAGTGTGACGTGACGAGAAAAAAATACTCTGCCCTTTCTTAAAAGTTTTGGGAGATAGACTTATGGATAACAGAAAAGAAAATGATGTTGAAGTGGTTTTTCAAAACTTGATTAAAACAACGGATTGTGCTGTGGAATTAAAAAAGTTAATTCGCATACTTACTGCCCGAATTAAGAATTTGCAAGATGACATATCGAAAGAACCGAAAAATATTGAACAGACACATAATTGCTTTTCGGAAAGAATGGTGGAAACAGCAAAGCATCTACACGAAGTCACAAGTCTTGCCACAGAATTACAAAATAACATTCAAAAATTGAACATTGAGCTTTCAATTAAACCAATATTCGAGAACAGAAAGGAAGTAAGTAATTTGTTTATTGACCAATTTAGCATATGACATGTATGAGGTCAGCCTTTAAATACAAATACTTAATTCGAACAGTACACATTGACAACGGAACACACTTCATACATAAATATGGTTTATATAAGAAGTGATACAACACTGGGGCTCTGTTCACAGAAAAATATTCCGAACTGACATGGTCATGACAAACGAGTATTTTTTCTCGTTAAGATTTTATTTGTTAATGTCTTCATAGTAAAGCAAAAACAGTGTGTTATAAAATATTGTTAAGACCAAATGAACAACGCCTGTGTCTTTTGGAAAGGGGGTCATGCCATGTTTTATTAAACCATGCATACGTCAACGAAAGATCGATCATCGTCAGAAGCTGTATATGCTAGAATTGTCTGTATGTTTGTTACTTTATTTTAACAGTTTGATTTAACGTTGGTTATTTAATTTCATGTCATGCACAAATTTTCATGTTGTACAGAGAGCTACATCAAACCCTTACAGAATGGTCCGTTCTGGTTATATGTTATAACACAAATATACAAATTACTTTACGTGGGTAATTAATTCACCGAATCCAAGTCGATGTTGATGCAAATTAAAGAACCTCTATGCAAAATTAGCCAGATCAAGAATCATCCTGAAAGTTATTATTTTCTTTAAATTTGACATTCACAAATGCCATGCATCTTTTTGTAAGAGTTTTTGTTTTTGTTTTTATTATCATTATTCAGAATTTGGTATTTTCCTTAATCCAACGTCCTTGAAATCTTCCATCTTAAATTGTATCTACATTTAGGAGTACTCGGCTACACAAAAAAACAAGAAAAATAAAACCAAATCAAAGGAAAAGTTACTATCAAACTTTCAACAAACCTGTTTTAATGAAGAAGATTATTATCGTGTACGTTGGAAACGTTCGCATTTCAAGTCTCTTACACAAATATCATGAAAACATAATGAGATTAAAACACCTGGTCAGTTACTTTCACTTGAATTCATTCGCTACAATATACAATACCGGTCTTCTAATTAGGTGAAAATCCAGAATATTGTCTAGTTTTTAGGGTTGTTTTAATTGTTTGCAAAACTCTGAATTTTTCGAAATTCTAAGGACTTTCTACCCCAGGTTACCTTAGATGTATTTGTCAAAACCTTTGGAAATTTTGGGCGATCCTCAATGCTCTTCAACTTTGTACTTTACTTGGTCTTTTTAACTTTTTTGATGAGTACAATATTTTAATCTTTGTATCTATGATGAGTTTATTTTCATGGACTTTAGCTAAACAAAGTTCGACCTGACTAGAATTTAAGAGAAAAGAAAAGAAACTAAAAAAAGTTACAACTATCAGACATTTCCAATATGAGACAATACAGTTAACTGTCAATCAAATGCACACGATCGCGACTTCTGGTAATTACATTGTGGAGAAAATTTGGGATTGTCATGAAGTTGATAATTCTTTTGTCACCCTGGATAGGCAATCACAAAGCCTTTAAAGTGTCAAAGTCAGGTGATAGTAATTTGGACTTATTCGAATTATTCCTCATCAATTAGAATCATGTGCAAAACAGTGTAGGCGAGACCATTGATTGGCGCGCTAAAATATCCCATTGACTGCGTCAGATTAGGTGAACGTTCGTCTGTGACGCCCACAACTCACGACGTATTTATTATAAACATTTAAACTGTGGGGTTGCCAAAGGGTTTCAGTATATATACGAACTACAGTGCACAGTATATTATATACATATTTTATTTGCGATCATAAAATGTACGAAGTCGTCCATCACTATGTAAATTGGGTCGATTAAAAAAAAAGCTGAAAATGTTTCTGTTGCCAAGGGTTTTTCACAAGTATAGTAGTTAGCAGAAAAGTTCACCAAACTATACATTTTACATATTCAAAAAACGTAAATGCAAATTCCACAAGGCTTGATCCAAATAGCCTTTTTATTGTCTAATAACTTGAAAGTACGAAAAAGACAGGACAGAAGTATATTTTGTCTATATGTTTTGTGTACGCACACTTTTTAAAGTTGATCATGCATTCGTTCTAAAATAAAATTTTGACCAGATAAAAGTTAAAAGATGACATAATTGGACATGCAACCGCAATTGTTAAATCGCTTTGACGTCCGAAAAAAAAGATAATAATCAACACATGCATTGTAACTTTTAAAGCCAGTTAAATCCTTTTTTTTTTTTGTTGAAAGAACGTGCGATGTCATAAAACTTGATTATCAAAACATAACGAAAACACAAGTAAAGACATTTACACTGAAATGCAGTCAAGTTTAGCGATTGATAATTCATTGATAACATTCTGGCGTATCACAAACAAACAACTTGTAACGTCTCACTTCATTGGCCGAAAGATTTAAATACAACAACAATTGTTGTGTGCATGTGAATTGACACAGGTGACCGACAATGGAATGTACTACGTTACTACGAACGTAAAAAACAATGATTTTTGGTCGAAATAATTAAATTAGTATTTTGTGAATTTCAAATAGTGGGGTCGAAATATTATACTAATAATTTGTGTTAAGTAATATTCTTTATGCATGCAGCACTTGTACCGCACTATGAAAAATATAAGGATAAAATAAAATACATGTGCCGCTTTTATACGGATGAATGTATGAACCACTTTAATTTCTTTCATATTGACGCTAGGTTATTATCCTGACAATGTCGTAGTTACTTATAATAAGGATATCATAATACTGATCCATTTCAAATTTATGATGGGTTGCACATTCCTCTTTTATTGTTTTCATGCTATAAAACGAAAATAAAGAAGCTAAGCGTTTGGTCATTCAGAAATGACGTGTCATAAACGAGCAAATTGTCCCCGAAAGATCGTACCATGTGTGCACGTGAATATAGATGTACTATGCAATGTACTATCATGGTCACCACGCAATTCAAATGAATTCAGTGAAGGCATGTTGGTGTAAAAAGGTTTGAAATGTTTCATCGGCGAAGATTTTATTTTTGCATGTGTGGAACTAAAAAATAAATAAATACTTGTGAGAAATGTCGTAGTTTATAAGGAACTATATAAATGTACTGTTTTCGATTTTGATTGGTTGAAAATTTATCCTTTAATTTCATACCGTAAGAATAGAGCTTTGCATAACATTGTTGAACAATCCGCCAAAGTAACGTGTGGCATGCGTGCGTATTAAAATGAAATACAAAATCATACATGTATGATAAACTTATAAACGAAATATTAAGAAATTAAGGATGACTACTGTAAAAGTATGTACAAAAATGGAGTCACCTTTTATCAATACATTTAGTGAATAACCACACTGTTTAAAACTGATTGTTTTCTATGCAACTATTTAAATATTTACAACATATAATTTTCAACCGAGGATAGCAAAACAGTTAATTATAAATTAAGAAAGTATATCACTGGAGTTTATAAAGTACATTTCCTTCCACTGTGCCATGGTTTGCCATCTCCATTTTTTCTCTAAACAAAGCATGGCTGGTTACATGTTCTGAATTTACTTAGAATTTCGGGATTTTTTTTTCAAAATCAAGTAAACTAAATCAGAAAAAAAATCACACTATCCTAAAACTTATGAAAGAATATGAATAATGAACATGACAGTTTATAACACAAACTCATTTACTATAAAAATCGAGCAATATCTTTAGTATGTAATTTGGTTATTTTTGTAGTTAAGTACGGTTTCATTTCAAGTACAACGTTAATTCATCAAGTCCATTGAATAAAAGATAAGGCAGGGTGAGCAACTCGACAAAAAAAAGGCAGGATGACGATTTATGTAAAAAATCAGGATAAACGAATAAATATAGTCAGGACCTAACAGACAGAAAAATAGAAAGACAGGACAGAGATAACAACTAAAAAAAATGCAGGACAAAATGTTTCATCCAAGCCCCCCAATCAAAATAAAATGGTAGCTCCCTTAATCCAGGACCAATTGAGAGGAGACAGTTGAATTAAATATTTCGACGTGACTGTTAAGATTAAAGTTTAAAATTTTACATGCACATGTATAAAAGCTAGAATTGCCATGCGATAATCAAGAACACAATCATGTTCGGGAATACGACGATGGAAGTTTTTAACGACCTTGACCGGCTACGTGAATACTGATCAGTCCATTCAGCTTTATAGTACGCGTGTTCTATTTTCGCAGGTGTGAGGTCAAAGGTTTGAATTGACCAATGAAAACGATCGTTCCTTAACGAGTTAATCTAATAAAGTTTGTTTGACTGTTTATGTTGCACGACCTTTCGCTAAGCTTGACCGCAGTTCAGTGTAAGTATTCAATATAAATCAAAACACAAAGGTTATTTCTGATTAGTTTTTCGAATTATTTTATTTAGGCGTTGAGACACTTTGGTGACCTCACAGTTTAAATGTCTATAATAAATACGTCGTGAGTTTTGGGCGTTACAGACGAACGTTCACCTAATCTGACCCAGTCAATGGGATATTTTAGCGCGCCAATCAATGGTCTCGGCTACACTGTTTTGCACATGATTCTATGTTTCATGATACCTGTTATTTCCCTTGTTGGTAAATTTTCAAAACTAGGAGAGTTCGGAGAAAATGTTAGTTTTTGTACAAGTAATAAATGCCATGCACAGGTCGTTAATGATTTTAGTAGTTTATTAATGTTTCTCTTTCTTTCTCTTTTTGTTTGCAATATTCTGTTATTTTTTATAATTCCTTGATCGTTAAATTTGTATCGACAGGACAAATTATTCAAGCAACAGACAGCGGATTTGACAGTGCAGCTTACAGTGCCACTTCAAATGTTATCAATAGTGGTAAGTAAAAATGTAAATAGTAGTTACGATAAAATAACAAAGATTATATTTAAGTTCTAGATTTCAAATGGTCATAATAATTTGTTTGATTTTATGGTGTTTTTGTTTTGCTTTTTTATAATTATTAATAGACGATTTGAGGTTTGTAAATAATATTCGGCCGAAGACTTTTATTTTGAAGACGTCCGATTATCTAGTAATGAGTAATGTCAAAAACGGTAGTCTGTCGTATTCGTTATATTCCAATGTCTTGATTTTTTAAGTTATCTTCGGCACAATTAATTGCCAAAGATTATAATTTGGAAGAAAACATTTTGTCAACAAAAAATTATTATAATCTGAGGGAATTCTAGTGACTGAATACTAAGTTATATCCATGTAAATCTAATTGTAAAACAAATAATAATCGGAGGTGTACTGTGACTTTCAATAGGGATATAAGTCCATGAAACAACGATAAAAACGACAAAATAAAAAAGACTTATAAAGGGCGACATGAAGTCTTTAAAAATAGATTTGTATTCTAATCACCTGATATTACCTGCAAAGTTAACTTTAAAATCCCTGTGGCTATTTTTAGAATGCATTGTATAGCAATGAAAATTTTTGATATATTTGGCTATTTTTAACCGATATAAATAAGACATTCGGGTAGATATGTACAACTATAATGAAAGCTCTACCGATCTCTGTCGGTATCATGTATGTAATTTATGTAAATGTTATTATCAGTATGACATGTTCGTTTTAGACGTCTTCGGTGGAATACAAGATACAAACCCACCAGAAAATACGTGCCAGTCTTGTTCGTCCCTTTCACTGGAGGCAAGTTTATAAATCATTTATAAGAATGCTATGTGCAACAGTTTCGACAATATTTGACGGAAAGATCGTATGATTTGGTTTTAGTACACTCTACACGGGGTTTTATTTCTTGAAAAATCTACATATAAAGTTTGGAAGACCAAAAAATATATCGTTGGAGAGTACAAAATCCAAAAGGGCATAAATAGAAAAGCCCAAAAACCATGCATTTTCAAATCTGCCTGAAGGAATTGCAATCGTAGCTTTGACACAAACATAAATGTGGAAGACTTTATTAAATGTAAATCTAAAACCAAAAGGTATCATTTCAATCATACCATATCGGAAGCAACATATTTAGATATAATGGGTGAAATTTAATTTCATATATGGTGATTTTTTTCTCCTATTTAAACATGTCCTATGAGTACTTTTTACCAATCGTTTCGTCCGAAGAACTATGGATTTTGTTTTTTGAATACAATACTAGTATCGATTAAAGATAACATTTTATTTTTCATGCATCGTGTTTGTTGTTGTCTAAATTTTGTATAAACATTGAATTATTTTAACGTATTACATATAATTTAACATATTGTTTTTCCAGGCTTGTGGCGAAAACTATCCTATAACACAAAATAACAAAGATTCGGAATGTTGAAGACAAAGTTTCAAAAGAATGTTGTACAATACAAAAATAATTTTATTCTTTTATCATTTGTATCATACACTATTCAATCTTTAATTTGACATATGTTATATTTCAGAGCCTGTCATTGTATTTACTTATTAGGTAGTGATAACAGACCTGTGATAATCTCTGTTTATTTATTCACTACTTTTGTAGACTTAAGACAATTAAGTTTTTGATATATTGTAAAGACACTAGTCGGTTGTTGAATCCTGTATGTTGATCTTAGATTTTTTTCAATGTGTCGGTTAAGTTATTGTTTAATTAGCGTTTACTCCACATCTACTTTTATTTGTATTTAGTTTCTTAAACTATATATTGTTTAACACATGTTTAAATCATTAGAGCTGAACAAAAGATTTTCAGTTTTGCATTTAAACAAAAAGTATTGACAAAAATACCAAACCCCAAGGTATCTATTCAAAAAAAGGGAGGTCCATAAAACCTGACAAAATTAATTGCTCGGCTATATCAACCAACGGAACGAATGGAAAACAACTGTCATATACATGTACTCTCATGTTTGTTTGATAGATATATACTACCTTTGTTTATGACCTATTGACAGCTATTATTTTTTTTTTCAAATCATGGAACTGGTCACAAAAAAACTCACTTAACAGCCTGTTTGGCTGGTTTGGAGTTAATGCGATTTCCTTAGTTTTTGTTCTTTTATCTTTTAAATGGATTTATGAGATTTAAACATTGGCAAAGTTCTGTTGCTTCGAATATACAACAGCTATCAAAGAACGTACGGTTTAACTTACATACAAGAAATCGTGAATTTTTGTGCATTTTTTACATACTCAAATGATTTAGCTGAAATAGTACTGTAGTTAATTGATAATTATACGAATTCGTCTTGTGGGACTATAGTAACTATCAATCGATCATAATGTATATGTTTATTATTTAAGATTTTAAGAATATTCATTTGTGATTTTCCTTCAGTTTTTATTTTTCCAGTCGGAAATTGTAAATTTTTACCCTTATTTTAATTAACATATTTCATATTTAACCAGTTGGTTTCTTGAAAGCATTTGCCTTTGTTCGTTTTTCTTTATTGTCCAGTAAATTAAAGTTTTAAGCTTTTCATACAAATGTGAAGAATATTGACTTGATTTGACTGTTTGTTTTATGCTTCTATTGCTAATATTATAAAATTATGATAACACATGTACAGGAAACGAGAAATTACCAGTAATGTATTTCCGTACAAAGAGAAAAATATTAACGAGTTACTACTTTATGCATAATGTTCTCAACTTCACATATCGCTGTTGACGATTGACATTACGATTAAACGTATTTTAGCGTATTGGGCAAAATAGATTTATATTTTGACAAGAAGCAGTTGTATACAATTAAATTAGTTTGCCGTATTCGAGACAAAACTTTGTTAGTTGATACCACAACCGTTCACGAGCTCTGCAATTATGCAGGTGCATTTGATATATGGGCAATGTATTGCGCAATGTATCTTTTCGTATTCCTTTTGTTTTATTCAAATTCTAAATATTTTTTCATCGTTTTTTTTAATTTTTATTGAAAGTAGGATTCGGTTTTTATTTGCTTATTTGTTTTGTTTTGTTTAAAAATAAAATAAAGATTTATCAGGATTTTTTCAGGAATATCTTTCATATTTCAGAGTCACAAAAGAATGAAGCATTTTCCATGAGAATGATTATGATAATGAGTTTATTCCTAATACAATGTTTTGACATTTAGGCGTTTTCCAGTTAGTCTATCAAAAAATAACAAAAGATATGTGCTTAAACTATTGCAAAAACATGACTGGTAAAATATTTGCATAAAAAGATCGAGTTTAGAGCAATTGGAACATTGAAGTTTATTCTTACGATTCAATATCTCAAAGTCAAGTTCTTCATGTTTTATATAATTTACTACAGTAGATGGGGTTTGTTTTATTTCAAAACTTTATAGTTGAATATTGTTTAAAAATATCTTAATCATAATGAATATTAATTTGTATTGCAGTTAAGCATCTTTATATGTGCGGATATGATGCGTTTTTTGCTTCCTTTTATTCTGAAGAACAAATACGACAAGTACATTTGTAATTGGTATCAGTGGCCATTTGTTTTGTATGGTCTTTTCATTAATGTATAAATCTGAATATTATTTATTGCTATCTGTTAAATTATCTTTTTGTCTGTTAAAATTTTTATCGGCATTTTTCCGTTTTTCAATGACGAAAGTATTGTAGTGTAGTATAAATGTTGTCAGCCGTATAAACTTAAATTATTTATGTTTATCCTTGATATTTTTTTGCTTCTTTTTTTTAAGGATGGTAGTGGTAAAAAACGAGAATGATTTTTTTTTTAAATAGTAGAAACCTTAACTTTCATATAAAAGAGGGACGAAAAATACCAGAGGGACAGTCAAACTCATAGATCGAAAACAAACTGACAACGTCATGGCCAAAAATAAAAAGACAAACAGACAAATAATAGTACAGATGACACAACATAGAAGACTAAAGACTAAGCAACACGAACCCCACCAAAACCTGGGGGTGATCTCAGGTGCTTCGGAATGGTAAGCAGATCCTGCTCCACATGTGGCACCCGTCGAGTTGCTTATGTTATTACAAATCCGGTAAATAGTCTAATTCGGTAAGTCACATTCGTGAAAAGGGAAGGGTATTGTAGTTACGACATAAGGAACATATCCGATATCATCTGTGAAACGGTTATTCCATAACGGTCAACCAACTCGTGATGGCGTCCGTAAAATTTACGAAGGGATGACTTCAACTTCATCATTTGGAACTCTTGGTTTAATAGCTTCCTTGTGAGCAGCAATCCTCTATCAAGGAAATCATGATAGGAAACACAAGCCAGGGAATATCGTATCAATTGGGAGATATATACTCCGTATGCAGGCGCTGCTGGAATGTTGCTACATAGAAATGGAAAGTTCACAATTGGGAAGCTGAAATCATCTCTTTTGTCGTAAAGTTTTGTTTTCAACCGACCCTCATTGTCAATTTCTAGCATGTAACATGATTGATTAATGTTTGCATTACGCCGATTAATCTCAACAGCCTATATCGCGACGACTTTCATATGCTTTTCATCTTGTATTAACAGTTAAAAATTGTAAAATGGTCCTCACGCAATGTCTTAAAGTACTTTCCATACTGAATGTCTAACACCAAACCCAAGCAGTTGAAAGCCAAAGATGTATAAAGTACCCGAAGTCATATCATAGTAATGTTGAAAAAATGCATGTGCAAATAAAAGTGTATGACAATATGATAAAAATGTGGCCATAAAAATTTAAAAAAAATAAAAACGGATAAATTACACTTTTTGGCGGAAAGTACGTTTTAAAATGATTTTTGTTATATGCTTAATTCACATAAAAGGATAACATATTTTGTAGTAAATACTGAACACAAATAAAATCATACTCCCGTAACAAGTCTCGGTATATTGGAAAGATTTGATCAAATTTTAAGAATATTATATCAAAACAAAATGTTAAGGATTGCTTTTGTAAGGCCGCAAGAATGTCTAGTGCAAATAGTGACCTATAGTTGCTTACGCCTACGTCATTTGGTGTCTTGTAGAGAGTTGTCTCATTGGAACCATCCCACATCTACTTATTTAATATAGGTCAAAATGTATCCTATAAAGCTTAAAGTAACATATGTTTTAAATGCACTTTGTTTAACAAAACTTAAAGTATGTAAGTCCTGTACCAAGTCAGGAAAATAGGCTTTGTTATATTATAGTTCGTTTCTGTGTGTGTGTTACATTTTAATGTTGTGTTTCTATTGTGTCGTAGTTCTCCTCTTATATTTGATGTGTTTCCCTCAGTTTTAGTTTGTAACCCGGATTTGTTTTTTCTTTCTCAATCGATTTATGAATTTCGAACAGCGGTATACTACTGTTGATTTTATTTATGTGCTAAAATGTCCATCTATTTTGAGCATATGTGTACATAATTGAGCACATGCAATTATGTACACTTCAACGTTAGACTTTATTTTCTAAATACAAAAGAACAAACACAAGTTTGGATACTGAATGGCGCAGTTACCGCCTCAAAGTCTATTCTTTAATACAAGATGTATCTGCCTTAAAAGTCCATCAAGTTACAATAATAAAGGCCATCAAGTTACAATAATAAAGTCCATCAAGTTACAATAATAAAGTCCATCAAAATAACACAAGATACACTGCCTGGTAGAATCTTTAACAATGTCATGTCTGTAACAAAATAATCTACAAAACAAATGCAACAAATAATACTTTACTATATAAAATGCAAATATTTTTGTAAAAAATTAAACTTCTACCTATA